TCTGTCGCTCTGCAAGGAGGGGGGGGGAGTCTCACCCTCCTTTCTGTGTCCTTTTAAAGATTTATTACAAGGAAGAAAAGAAGTAAAGAGAAAGTCTTCTGCTTCTAATGTTTTTTTCCCAGGTACTTACATTGTAAATCTTCATTGATGATACTGACAAGGCTGAGATGGGGGTCTGCTATAGACTACCAAGCCAGGCAGAGGATTTGGATGAGACACTCCTAGAACAGATTACAAAGTTCTCAAAAAAAAGGGACATGGTGGTCATGGGAGATTTCAATTACTTGGATATCTGTTGGAAGTCCAACTCTGCTAAAAGTGAAAGGGCCAACTTCATTTTTCAGAAAGTGGATAGGGAAACAAGGGGATTTACTATCTTGGATGATTCTTACCAGTAGGGAAGAACTGGTTGATGAGGTGAAAGTAGTGGGTACCCTGGGTAATAGTGACCATGGAATTTTGGAATTTACAGTCTTGGGGAAGTAAAAGCTGTACACAGTCAGACATAAGGAAAGCAAATTTTGACAAACTTAAAGTTATGCTGGGTAGATTCCCATGGTCAGAAATACTTAAGGAAAAGGACGTTCAAGAGGGGTGGGGATTTCTTAAAAATTAAATACTGAAGGCACGGGAGTTTCTTAAAAGTGAAATACTGAAGGCCCAACCACAAATGATTCCTATGAGAAGGAAAAATGGGAGGAGCATAAAGAAGCCAAGTTGGCTCCATACACAGCTCTCTAAAGACTTAAGAAATAAAAAAGACTCATTCAGAAAGAGGAAGGAGGGCCTTATAATCAAGGATTAATACAAACAAATTACCAGTGCTGGTAGAGAGAGAGTTAGGAAAGCTAAAGCTCAGTATGACCTTAGGCTAGATACTAAAAACAACAAAAAGGGTTCTTATGTTCAAAGTAAGAAAAAGAGCAAGGACATGGTAGGCCCACTGCAGGGACAGAAAAATCAACCTGTAACAGGTGATGAAGAAAGGGCAGAACTGCTCAATTCCTACTTTTCCTCAGTCTTTTCTTGCAAGGGAAACAATGCTCAATATGGCAAAAACACATGATGAGGGAAGGGAGTTGCAGCCTAGGACTGGCATAGGGGTAGTATATAAACACCTAGTTTCTTTAAATGAAACTAAGTCCTCGGGGCCAGATGAGCTGCATCCAAGGGTACTAAAAGAACTTGCGGATGTAATTTCTGAGCCTCTGTCCATTATTTTTGAGAATTCTTGGAGAACAGGTGAGGTGCCAGAAGACTGGACGTGGGCAAATGTTGTCTCCATCTTCAAAAAGGGAGAGGCGGGCAAATGTTGTACTCATCTTCAAGGAGGAGAAAAAGGAGGATCCAAGTAACTACTGACTGGTCAGTTTGACGTATATACCTGGGAAAGTTTTAGAACAAATAATCAAACAGACAGTCCTTGAGCATTTAGAATGGATGGGTGTAATTACTAAGAGCCAGCACAGGTTTCTCAAGAACAAGATATGTCAGACTAACCTTATCTCTTTTTTTGAGAAAGTTACTACCTTGCTGTATCAGGGGAATGATGTAAACATAGTTTATCTTTATCTCAGTAAGGCTTTTGATAAGGTTCCACATAATATACTTGTTGACAAATTGGAAAGATGTGGTTTGGATCCTGTGACTGTTAGGTGGATCTGTAACTGGTTGACAGATCGCACCCGAAGAGTGCTTGTGAATGGTTCCTTATCTTCTTGGAGAGGAGTGACAAGTGGAGTGCCTGAAGGATCTGTCCTGGAACCTGTTTTGTTCAACATCTTTATCAATGATTTGGATGAATGGATAAAGGGAAGGCTTATTAAATTTGCAGATGATACTAAATTGGGAGGGGTAGCAAATATGGTAGAAGACAGAGTCAGGATACAGGATGATCGTGACAGACTGGAAACCTGGACTAAAAAAATAAAATGAATTTCAGTTCGGATAAATGTAAAGTTCTGCATTTAGGTAGGAAAAATCAAATGCATAATTATAGGTTGGGGGAGACTTGTCTTGGCAGTGGTATGTGTGAAAAGGATCTAGGGGTCTTAGTAGACCATACACTGAACATGAGTCAGCAGTGTGATGTGGTTGCTAAAAAGGCAAATGCAATTTTGGGCTGGATCAACAGAAGTATAGTGTCCAGATCATGCGAAGTGATGGTACCACTTTGCTCTGGTTAGACCTCACGTAGAGTATTGTGTTCAGTTTTGGGCACCACAATTTAAGAAAGATATAGATGAGCTGGAACATGTCCAGAAGAGAGCAATGAAAATGGTGAGAGGTCTGGAGACCAAGTCCTATGAGGAAAGGTTGAAGGCGCTGGTTATGTTTAGCCTGGAGAGGAGATGACTGAGAGGTGATATGATAACCATCTTCAAGTACTTGAAGGGCTGTCATATAAAGGATGGTATGGAGTTCTTTTCTGTTGCCCCAGCAAATCGGACCAGAACCATTGGGTTGAAATTAAATCAGAAGAGTTTTCGGCCTAACATTAGGACGAACTTCCTGACAGAGCGGTTTTGACAGCAATGTGGATTCCGTGAACTTAGGCAGATCATGAGAGGGAGGGCAGGAAGGGTTGCCTCAGTGCTTAGTTCTTGCGGCCCTTTCTTACATGCCCAGGAAAATGCTGGTTGCCACTTTGGGGTCAGGAAGCAACTTTTCTCGAGGCCACTTTGGCAAGGGATCCTAAAGGCTTTTTGTTATCTTCTGGGTGTGGAACACCAGTCACTGCGGGTGTGGAGGGGGAGGTATTTGTGGATTTCCTGCATTATGCAGGGAGTTGGACTAGATTATCCTGGAGGTCCCTTCCAACTCTATGATTCTAGTACATCTGTGAGGGGCCCGTAAGGGTATGTTCAGCATCTTATGTGGGTATACCCCTCCCGATGCAACTGCCAAAATATTTTTATCATTTGACAATACCAAAGCTCAGAAGAGCTTTTACTTTGGCAAGAATGAATGTCCTTCCATCGGTGGTTTTGGAGGGTAGATATAAAAAAGTGCTATATTCAAATAGAACATGTAGATGTTCACATAATAAAACTGAAACGATTGAACATATGATTATGGAATGTCCTATATTTAATGAGCTGGGGGCTAGTTTAACTACTCCTTTACTTAGAAATAAGGAAATGCCCACTGAGGCATCTGACAGTATGAGGACACAGGTGACATGGCTACTATCAGATATAAATGATTTTATTACTCTCTCCACGGCAAAACTTATGGGGGCAGTAATGAAACAACAGAAGAATAAGTAAGGCATTATCTTATTTTATAATTTCATTTTCTGCTCAAAGCTATAGCTGTATGAGCAGGGATGGATAGATAGGTAGGTAGACGGACAGACAGATAGATATTTTATACTGTAAACTATCTTGGGATGTTTAAATAATTTTAAATGAATAAATTAAAACAATATCTAATACTAGTAAGGAAAGCCCGTCGTGGCGGTAGACGACGGGCCCTAGATAGGAAGGAAGGGCGAGTGGAAGGGAGGAATGGAGAAGAGGAGGTAGAGAGAGAGAGACAGAGTGAGAGAGGGGGGAAAGAGAGAAAAGGGGGGGAGACAGAGTGGGGTTAATGGTAGTAATTTGGAAAGAAAGGAAGGAAGAAAGCTAGGAAGGAAGGAAAGAAGGAAGGAAGGAAGGAAGGAAGGAAGGAAGGAAGGAAGGAAGGAAGGTAGATGGGTAGAAAGACAGAGATTGAAAGAGAGTGAATGGGAGGAAGGATAGTTGAGAAGGAAGAAGGGCAGAGAAACAGAGGGGGGAAACAGAGTGGGTGAGAGAGAGAATGTTGGGAGGGGAGAGAGAGAAAATGGAGGGGGGAGGGGACC